CCGAGTTGGCGAGCCCAGCTAAACTCGGTCGTTGCCTTCCCCCGCCGGCTGTTCGGCCCACTGCTCACCAGACATCTGGGCCTGGGACGCCATGGGCTCCACTGAGCCGGAGACCCCTGCCAGGCGGGGACTTGTCTTCTTCTTTACTGGACACTCCCGAGAGAAATGTCCGCTGCCCCCACAATACCAACATAGATTTAGCCGTTGCCGTCGCGCCTTTTCCGCTGCATCAATTTTGGGGCGCATGGAGCCCAGCTGCATGGGTTCCTCTGCATCGGGCGCAAGAGATGGCGGCGGTCCCAAGCGACGTGGCACTCCCGCATCGGCCCCCTTTTGACCAACTGGCCGGGGCCCGGCAAGGATGTGACGTTGGTTGGTCAGGGTCCCATCTATCCGGATACATAGGGTCATCAATTCTTCCAAGTCGGCTGGGACAGCGGAACGGGCCACCTCCAACTGCATCTCCCGGGTGAGCCCCGCCTTGAAGGCGCTCATGTAGGTGGCATCATTCCAAGCCAGCTCCTGCTGCAATACACGAAACTCCGAGATGTACTGGGCCAAACACCCCTCTCTTTGCGTTAGGGCTCGCAGCTTACGATCCGCCATCTCCCGGTGCACTTGGCCTCCCCAGACTTTGTGCAGTTCATCCATGAAAGCCTTGACAGTGTTGCACACAGGGGAAGCGGCCTCATGTAGCGCGGTGGCCCAGGAGAGGGCCGGGCCCTCCAACAGACTGTAGGCAAAGCCCACCTTGGCTGCTTCATTCGGGAACTCCGCTGCCCGCACTGTGAGGTAGGCATCACACTGCCCCAGGAAGTCCTTGACCCGTTGACTGTCTCCAGAGAACTTGTTAGGCAACGCCATAGGAGTCCTTAGCGGCTGGGCCGGAGGGTTAGCTGCTCCTTGCGCTTGCATCGTGGCTATCTGCTGCTGAAGGTTCTGCAGCTGCTGTTGCATCGCCTGAGCCTCTGCAGGATTCATGGTGGCTGGGAGAAGCAAGGACTTTGTTGGTGGTCAGTTTCAAACTGTTGTATCTCAGGCTAAGATTCACCTTGCTCTCTCTGACAAATCAGCCAAACTTGTGAGGAAGGAAGTTTAATGAGGATTTTCAAACAAATCAGAGTATAAGCAGTAAAAAGATCAGTAGTACAAGGTAAAAGTCCAATATAAT